CTTCCATAGGGATTTATGTGCCTCTGTACCCATCTTTAGTCGAGTCGGTGGAGGCACAGCTCCACACTTAGGTAGAGATCCAAGCTTCATATATTGTAATGTTTCAGCCTCTCTTTTTTCACGATGAAGCCCAAAATACAATACAAATGACCTCTGCAATAGAAATGGGCGATTAAAAAAAACAAATAGTTTAATGAAAAAACTCATAATTTTCAAACTAAATTTTAAATCTCGTTTAAATTTGGTCGATGGGGTTCTATAGATCCATTTTTATAGGTAATTGGCTCTATTTATCCTGCCGAAGTTGGATTTTGTTTGAGCTATTTTGTCATTTTTTATTTTTAGATTTATAATTTAGTTTTGGATTTTTTGTTTTTTTTTTGTTTTTTTATTTAGAATTTCAATTTTCCTATCTTATAAAAGTCAGTAATTTTATAAATCTATAAAAATGTAGACTATATTAAACAAATATTCAATAATAAAATATGAATTTCGGTCGTGGTTGTTAAGATCATTTTCGGCGAAATTCTCTATTTTTGTACTTGTTTTCTTTTTATCAAGTTGGACAGCATCGCTATCCTCTTGTCAACTAGGAATTGCATGCCTGAGCAGTGACCAATAATAGATCAGTACACAAACGAAAACATGCTGAGGATGGCTTAAAATGCTATTTGCTAGGTTCAAATACATGGGGTATGACATGTACTGCTATATTATAAGTTGAATACATGGGGCCTTCCCCCCTGGATCCTGTTGAGTGTGGTGCTATTGCTTCTGCATCGGCCATTTGCCCATCAAGGCTGTTATATATATATATATATGTATATATATATGAATATATATATATATATATTAAGGCTGTTATATATATATATATGTATGTATGTATGTATGTATGTTTCTTTTGGGAATATAATGGTTTTTTTTTTTATCATGATATCAAAGATCACGAATTTGAAACTAACACGAAATGGCTCATTGATATTTTTAAGAGTAATTTATTCCTGGTTATAAGTTAGTTGTTGGATTAATAATTTTTATTGACAAAATACATAATCGGTAGGTGTAAGACTTGCGAAGTGACTAATCATGAAATTCCAAGAAAAGGATGCAGACTTTTTAACAAAATAAAGATTTTGACCGGTGTTTGAAACTAACACGAAATGGCTCATTGGTATTTTTCAGAGTAATTTATTCCTGGTCGTAAGTTAGTTGTTGGATTAATAATTTTGATTGACAAAATACATAATCGGTAGGTGTAAGACTTGCGAAGTGACTAATCATGAAATTCCAAGAAAAGGATGCAGACTTTTTAACAAAATAAAGATTTTGACCGGTCCTAACGGTAGGTACATGACATGGTATTCTAGAATCGGGTTTTAAAAATGACTTGAATATAAAAACTACTATTAATTAATAGTAGTAGAATCTAGTCAATAAAATTTGTTTGAAAGTAATTTTTTATTACATCCAAAAATATTATTATGTTAAAAGTTCTTGCACAATAGTAATTGAAATGTAATGATAATTACTTTTCAAAATATTTTTTGGTTGTAAATATATAAAAATAATATATATTTTTTATTTTTTAAAAAATTATTTTTAATATTAGTACATCATCTAATATTACATCCAAAAATATTATTATGTTAAAAGTTCTTGCACAATAGTAATTGAAATGTAATGATAATTACTTTTCAAAATATTTTTTGGTTGTAAATATATAAAAATAATATATATTTTTTATTTTTTAAAAAATTATTTTTAATATTAGTACATCATCTAAAAATAACAAAAAAAATTATTTTCAAGCAAAAAAAAAAAAAGGATATGGAACCTACAAACAACCCCTACATCCCAAATAAAAACTATTTTAGAAAAAAAGTAATTGTTTTTAAAATTTTTTTAAATGTTTACCTTATCCTTAATTTAAATAATATTTTAAATTATTTTTTTAATTTTTATTTTATCCTTTAATAGTAATTGTTTTTATTGAGTTAGCATACTTTTATGACATAGATCATAGACTTGGTGAGTTAACCCGGTTAACTCGAGTTTTTTTCTTAATATTTTTAATTTCATTATTAATATGAGTTTGATTGAGAATTAAATTTTATAATTTGTTTTGTTATTTTTTATTATGTTATTTTGGTCTAATGACCTAGAAATAATATTTAACGAGTTAATCTAATTTGACTTAAGTTATTTTTTTGTATCAATTTTTAATTGATTTTTTTTTCAACTTCATCATTTAACACTAAGTCGGTTGGGAATTGAGTTTTATAATTTGTTTTGATTTGATTTTCTATAATAATACTTAACAAGTTAATTTGATTTGACTCAAGTAATTTTTTATATAAATTTTTAATTGATTTTTTTTCAATTTCATATTCAACACTAAGTCAATTGTGAATTGAGTTTTATAATTTGTTTTGATTTGTTTTCTATGAAGATATCTTGGTTTCACAACCAAGATCATGGGTTTTGGCATTTGAACCGAGGTTAGATTGAATTGTTTTTCTATTTTTTTCTAAGAAATTATCTCAGTTTTATGACTCATGTCAAATGTTCTTCAATATTAAATTTTTTTACTAGGTTATCTCCATCTTATGATTTGGTTATGTGCTTGATGAGTTAACCAAATTGACTTAGTTTTTTTAATTGATTTTTTTTTTAATTTCATCATTGAATATTGTGTTGAATTGAGAATTAAACTTCATAATTTGTTTTGATTTACTTTTTTATTAGGTTATCTCAACCTCATGACCTGAAAATAGTGCTTAATAAGTTAACCCGACTTGACTTGGTTTTTTTAGTTATTTTCTTAATTAAAATTCTTATAAATTTTATTGTTCAACATTAAGTCTGATAGGAGTAATTGAAAATTGAGTTTCATAATTTGTTTTGATTTTCTCTTTATGTGGTTATCTTGGTGTCATAATCAAAGTTGTGGAATTGACAGGTTAATATGTATTAAATTAAGTTATTTTTTTATGAATTTATCTCGGTATGATGACTCGGGTCATGAGTTTGATGAATTGACTTTGGTTATTCTTATGTTTTTTAATTGATTTTTTAATTTTATCCTTCGATATTAAGCTGATTGGGGATTAAAAATCATAATTTGTTTCAATTTTCTCTGCATAAAGTCATCTTATTCTCATGAATGAGATCGTAAATTTAACAAGTTAATTTAGGTTATTTTTTTAGATTCTTTTTTACTTCTTTTTTTTTCAATTTTATTATTTAAGATTAAGTTAATTGAGAATTATATTTTATAATTTATTTTGATTTTTTTTTCTATGAGGTTATTATAGTCTAATAATCTGAGTTGTAGATTTGACATTATAATTGGAATTGATTAAGTTAATAAGTTATTTTACTATTTTAACAGTAAAAAAAATATCATCTTAAATTATTTCTAAACAAACTATGTTTTACCGTTTATATAAATTCCTTTTATATTTTCGCAATCAAATGAATTATGTCAGGTTAACTCTGATATGATTTATTTTTTAAAACAAAAATATGATAATAATATCTTAATATTATTTTTATTTTTAAGAAAAATTTGACAACAACCGTACCATAGCCCGGGTACATTATCAAGTTCAAGCTAAGCCAGTGGGAGACTTCCATTGTGCAACGCTCAGATGACATTAGTTTGTAGTGCAATAGAAGGTCTAAGGCTGTTCAATTAACGATAATATTAACAATCCAAAAACTAGATTTAGAGGCCCATAGGTTGGGGGTGATCATGAAGTCGTCAGGGGTAGCATTGTCATGATAAACACGCTATCACAAAGTATAATATTATTTTAAGAGTGTTTAATGATTGATTTTAGGGGCTTGATTAATTGGATTCTCGGCAGAGGATCTCTTTTGGACCCCAATTCTGCACCAATAAAGTATTGTTTTTGGTTTAAATTTTATATTTAAAGAATGCTCATTGTCGCTGGTTTCGAACTCCAAAAACGGCATGTTAATTCAATATTTGTAGAGGGAGTTATAGTTAAAACATTGAAGAGTGTGCAGGCTGCCTTGCAGCAGAGTGAATGGACAATTTTGGGGTTGATTCTATTATAAAGCATGAACTAGTATATGAATTATATATGGACGAAAAACTAGATGATGAGAAGCTAGATTCTAAAACAAAAACTGGCATAAGATTTCAAGTTTTCTAGTGAAGGTTTTGACTAGAGATGGTTTTATTAGCATGAACTAGTAAATGAATGTGCGCAATTCGTTGATTGTTATGATTAAATATAGAATAATACCTTATGAGCTATTATATCTTAATGAATCTATATATGTTAGATTTATGCTTTACCTGGTAGTTCGTGTAGAGCTTTATTTATTAAGCTGTGATTAGTTTAACTCCTTTTCCTTTCAATCTTATCCACAACTGAGATTAATAATCGTAGAGATTTTATGGTAAGTTATTAGTACAAGAATTGCTTGAGCAGCAGGTGCATAATCACATGATAATAACACTGGAACTTTAACTTAAAAATATCAAATATCAATATATAAACTCATTGGCCCCTAACGGAGTCGGCCAAAGCCTAAAAGCCAAAAGCCACTTGAGCAATAGCCAAGGCTTTCATTTAACAAAAAAGTTCTAAAAATAAATAAGTTTTATTTATCAATTATATTTTTCCACCACCTAGATGGTTATTACCAGAATTGCTTGAGCAGCAGGTGCATAATCACATGATAATAACATTGGAACTTTAACTTAAAAATATCAAATATCAATATATAAACTCATTGGCCCCTAACGGAGTCGGCCAAAGCCTAAAAGCCAAAAGCCACTTGAGCAATAGCCAAGGCTTTCATTTAACAAAAAAGTTCTAAAAATAAATAAGTTTTATTTATCAATTATATTTTATAAAATGCAAATTACACTCATTTAAGATTGCTTAAGAGTTCACTTGTTAAATAGACATAAGAAATAATAAAAAGATACTTTTTAAATATTTTAAAAGATATTATTTATAATTTTATACAATTCTCCATTCAACATAAACCGGCTCTGCCCCTCTTTATCACCAAGAAAAAAAACATGGAAATAACCCAGCCCCACAATGTACAATGAAGGACTAGCTTCGGTGAATATCAGGAATGGTTACACCTCAGTGATCAGCTTCATCAACGGGGCGAAATACTTGAAATTGTTAAAGCATTGATAGGACAGTTGCTAGCATTAACCTCGTAGTCGGCGTATCTCCCCACAGAAAATGCTGGCCGATCAGGTTGGGTAAGAATTGAACTTTCCCTTTTCAGCATTGAAACTACCGATGACATGGGAGGCCTCTCACAAGGATCTTCTTGAACGCACAATAAACCGATATGCATGAATCGCGAAAATTCATCCGAACAGCATGAATCAGCCATCAGTGCATCTATCAACTCTAATTCTTTTCCTTCGTTCCATAATTGCCATGCCTGATCCATCATTTAGAGGTGTAAGAAATTAAACAGAGTATCAGAATATGTGATGTAGGTGTCTTTTATGACTTTTAGACTCACGTAAGCTTGGAGGCTCGGAGCACGTTTCGATTTGCGGAATTCAGAATTATTTTTTCCAGTTATGATCTCAAGCAGAAGAACTCCAAAACTAAAAACATCAGACTTGGTGGAGTATAATCCTTCCATTGCATACTCTGGTGCCATGTATCCACTATTCCACAAGAGAGAGAAAAAATTGTTCAGAAAGGATGAGTGATACTTGAAAACAATAAGCATAAATATCAAGCAGACCCCATATGTTCCCAGCAGCTATTCTGGAACCTGTCACAATACTTCTTGACATTATTGTCTACGAAAAGTATGGCAGAGGTACAAATTAATTGATGTCCTTGTAAGGAAATATTAATAATTAAAGTGGTTGTAATAATTTTGGAATTTAAAATACATTTGAGCTAAGACTTTCACAAGTTAGACTGCACTTACTATGTTCCAACTATCCTAGCAGTACTGGCTTCGCCTTCACTGCCTGCAAACATCCTTGCCATTCCAAAGTCAGAAATTTTTGGGTTCATATCCTTGTCCAACAACACATTGCTAGCTTTCAGGTCTCGATGAATAATTCTATGCCTAGAATCCTCATGGAGATAAAGAATGCCCTTTGCAATTCCATTTACAATACCAATTCGTGTTCGCCAATTGAGCCGTGCACGTTCCATTTCATCTACAAGCAAATCAACATCCGTGTAATTGAATTTCTAAAATAATATTCAGTAGTTGAAAAGAATTGAAAGCTTTTATCTATAGATCCACGAGAGAAATTTCAATCAAAAGAGTGAAAGTCATTAAAGAAACTAACCAAAGAGGAAAACATCTAGGCTTCTGTTAGGCATGAATTCATAGACCAGAAGTTTTTCATCTCCATCAACACAAAGGCCGAGAAGCTTGACAAGATTTTTGTGCTGGAGTTTCATGATTAGCATAACTTCATTGATAAACTCATCTGTGCCTTGCTCAGACCAAGCTGAAAGTCTCTTCACTGCAACTTCTTTTCCATCACTCAGTTTTCCCTTCAAGAATACAAATGAAGAAATTTTTAAAACCTCTCTTTATATCTTCTCTATGTTACGTAATTTACATTTTTGAGCTTGGAAATATAGAAGATGAATTTCATTTACCTTATAAACTGGGCCAAAACCACCTTGTCCAAGCAAATTTGAGTCAGAGAAGTTACCAGTAGCTGCATATATAGATGCCAAATCCATAAATGCAGATTCCTCATCATTAAGGCCATCTCTCTGAAAATTTTGGAGCTGGAAATCATTGTCGTTTGGGTGACCGATCTCATTAGAATTTCTATCTATTCTTGTATTTTGTTTTTTCCCTGCATAACAACATTTATGATGTCAACTGGTGTTAAGAAGAGAACCAAGAAAAAAACGTTAGTGATTTCTATGGAAGCTAGCCTTCTTACATTTTTTAATTCCATTTCTCATCGCGTGATAGTATATAAGGGAGCCTAAGATGACCACCACGAGAAGTGCTGCTGCAACCGTCAGGATGATAATAATCCACGTTTTTCTTCGGTTGCCTTCATTAATTTTGGGAAAATTATTTTTAATCTCATTAACTGTAATGTTTCAGTTAGCACAAAAGTATACAACAAGCAATTTTTTGGTTCTGTAACTGACAGCATACAGAAACACTTACTTTTTCCTGGAACAGGACTTTTTGAAGATTCGTTTGCACCTTCATAGAAAGCATATAACTCATACCTTAAGTAGCAACTGCGGCTAAGAACCCGCCCTCCACGAGAAGCATCACAGCAACTGGAAATATTTTCCATGGCAACCCGAAGGCACGTGTTACAATCATATGGAGATAAGTCTGTGGAGCATTGCACCAAGGCATACAATGTTTCTGTATTGGTGAAGGCTGCTTGTCTAGTAGCGTACATATTTGCTGAAGCATTAAAAGCTACCTGCTTGGTAAGGTCACTCAAAGTTTCATTGACCACCAATCTGAACTGCTCTGGATTCTCAACATCTTTTTTGTTATCTAGGGCAATGTTTCCTGAGACATCCAAGTGGCCTAAGAAACTTTGATTCGAGTAGCGCAATTGACATAGCTCCTCCCATAAAACTGCTTTCTTATCTCCTGGACAAACCTGAATGATATCTTGTGATGCTGCCGTTATGCAAGTACTGCAGCTATCATGTGTTATATAGTTGATGCACATATATTGAGCATAGATTCTGTCAAGGTTATTTCCAGTAGAGGTATTGTAAAGTTTCGAAACTGATGCATTTGAACGAATGGAGGACATGAGGATCTGGAGATTGTTTTGGAATGTACTATTGGCTGAATAGTTAGAATTGTTTGAGCAAACACTGTAAGGAGGATCGGCACGAGCATGATCGAGAAGGTCGCTAATGAAAAAACAAAGCCAAAGAAATTGAATTGTTTTTTCAAAACTGGGAAAACTATAAGCCATTTCCTGTCTATTGAGTGCTTAGATGCTAGAGATCATGGGTCATCTCCTGTTTGAAGTTGAGATCATGTATATACGAAGCATACAAATGACGGGGTCTTCATCACCTCGGTTAACGAGCGATTTCTTGGAAAATTACGCTTAAAATACAGAAAGTAGCTAAAAAAATATAAAATTCAGAGTTTCACACAATGAAAGGGGTTGTAGTGAATGTTTAGGAATACGGTAGTTATTAAATTAATTTTTATTTTTTTTTAAATTTTTTTATTATGTTAATATTAAAAATTAAAAAAATTAATATATTTTCATGTAAAAAGTAATTATATACAGTTTCAGACACACCCCTGACCCTCCTTGTCATCCAAATACTATTCTCTAAAAGAGAAAAAGTTCATTTTCTAAAAAGACGTTGAATCCTAATTCACAACATATTTTTCCTTTTTTGCAAGGATTTGTATGCATGTAAAAATTAACAAAAACAAAAAAATTAGAGAAAAGAAAGGACTTGAAGTGGTCAACAAAACTATATTGGACAATTAATTCTGAATTTTGATAGGTAATTATTAGTAGGGTGTAGTTTCCAGGAAGGTCCTATGTGATATAATAATGTTAGCTTAGAATATTACCCGAATTTAATGTTATTTAACCTTAACTGACACATGTAGGCTGTAACCACTAGTGTGCTACCAAGACAGGTAACAATATACTAAAACTGCAATAATTTTTTAAAGAGGTCAAAACTTGAATTTTTGACCCTATTTGCCCCCTGGTCCCAGCCCCTAGTTACAAATTTATAGAAAAGTAAACTTAATGATTTTTTTTCTTGTTGAATATGGATTGTGGGTTTGACTACAAGGGTTCACGTTTTATTGGTTATATGTCCGCGCTACACCATGCTGACAAGTGACAACCGATCCAACTGGGGCTGGTCTTTGTACGTAACCAGAGCAGACTAAAATCCAATATGTTAGCCGGATAAAAAATCTTTTTTTTTTAATTTTAAAAGCGTATTTTGACTATTTTTCACGCATCCATGTAAATTACATATTTTTAGGATATTGTAATAAATTGCGTATGCACAATTACACTTACAATAAACACTCTCTTCAATATTATCAATTAGAACCTCGTCTTTGGCACGGTGGATATACTGAGTAATCATAATTAAAAGCTTTCCTTTATACATGATTTATTACTATACTTATCCAAGACCTTGTTTCCAGACTTTTCTATTTAAAAGAGAAGACCCCTGTAGTAGTATGTAAGTTGTGTGTGTTCACGTTACAGATGACAATAAAGTCAGAATTCTACTAAAACATCTTGTCCTATTCTGCTCTCTTAAAAAACACATCTCTTCTTCTGCCTCTAAGTTTTCTTTATTGAGCATGTTATGATTTGGAATTAAGTGAGGTAGGTCGGGATTGAAATGGCTAGTCACCGAGTTACTGTATCAATTACAAAAAAAAACAATTGTAATCAATCTTGTTTTGAAAAAAAAAAAAAAACACAAAACAAAACGAGACTTCAACTTCAATGCAGATACTAACATAGCAATTACTACACTTGGGAAACCTACTTCAAAAAAAAGAAGAAGGAAAACGGAAACATTTAAGCTCCTCCAAAACAAAGAAAATTGCACTTTGTTATGTTTAAAGGTAATTTTTTTTTATCATAGAAAAAAGTGGAGGATCCACTACCAAGTGGAACGAGGGAGATTCGCTGTACCAACCAATAAAACTCTTTCAATCAAAGTACTGAGCTACTACACTTTTTCATCAGCGTGGACCAACATCAGAAAGTGTCATTTCATTGACAGAGAAATTGCTAGCAGCTGCCTCCAGGTTGTCCATGAATCTTCCCACAAAAGCCGGCCGCTCAGGTTGGGGAAGAAATGAATTTTGGCTTTTCAGCATTAAGACAACAGATGACATGGTAGGTCTGTCGTTAGCATCTTCTTGAACACATAATAAACCAATGTGCATGTAACGTGAGAATTCGTCTGCATTGCATGAATCAGACAACATTGGATCAATCAACTCTGCTTTATTTCCTTCGTTCCATAATTGCCAAGCCTGCTTTGACATTAAGAAAGTGAAAAAACATTGTTGTCCCGTCAATCATTAACAGCGGGGTCAGTTTAAGTTAGTTTTTGTTGTATTTAAGGTAATAGATTAAACTTACATATGCAAGGAGGCTAGGAGCACATTTTGATTGGTGGTATACAGCTTTCTTTCTCCCGCTTATGATCTCAAGCAAGAGAACTCCAAAACTAAAAACATCAGATTTGGTTGAATATAATCCCTCCATTGCATATTCTGGTGCCATGTATCCACTAATCATAAAGAAAAAAAATAAATGTAGAGGTTAAAAATGAAAAGTTAGCTAGATTTTTACAAAAATAAATAGAAAAATGAATAGAAGTAAAGAGAAATTCTATACTGCAGAAAAAAAAAAGATTTTATATTCTTTTCTTATTTACAAAAAGATTTTATATTCTTTTCTTATTTACAGTTTATTAATACTATTAAATTTTTTTATATCAACTATAATTAAAAGCTTGTTTACGTAATCTAACCAACAATAACAAACTTTATTAACTATCTGACAATATTAACAACTTTCTAACTATTTTATTCTCTATTCTCCTAACATGTAGGAGAAGTAAGGCCTTTGATATCTTAACATTCCCCTTCAATTATAGGCTTGAAGGAACCAAATATAAGATTGGAACAGTGACCCTGAAATAAAGTCGTGAAAAGACCTTTAGTTAGGATATCAACAAACTGATATGATGATCATTAGTTTTAACACCTTCAAGATCAAAATTTGCATCAAATCGACTTGGACCCTTTCTTGAACTATCAACAAATCCTAAAATATTATGACTTTTAAGGAGAATTTGCATTTGAAAATGTCATATGAGATAGTTTGTATTATCAAGCTTGATTGTCATAGCAGTAGAAACCGTAAGAAGCAAACAGGTAATAGGAGATTGAATCATCTGAAGTTGAGAAGTAGTTACCATTTTTACAGTGCAAGAGATAGAAAAAAAGAGAATCAAAGATTGAGAAGGTGGAATCTTGTAGGAAGTTGAAGATTTGAAGAAGAATTTTTTTAGTTTGACAATATATCAAACAAATAATAGACAAATCGATTAATATGAAAGAATTATTTGGATAAAGAGATAATAATGCTAGAAATAGAGATTAGCAAGATATTAGAAGCAAAAGATCACAATATCACAACATAGTAAGAATCCTAAGCTTTGATACCATGAAAAGTAAACAAGATTTTCACATAAATAAACAAGGAAATGAATAGAAGTAGAGATAAATTCTACAGTGTAGAGGACGAAGAAAATGATTTTGTATTCTTTGCTTATTCACAGTTTACTAACGCTTATATTTCCTTTATATCAACTATAATTAGAAGCTTGTTTGTGTAATCTAACCAATAATAACATACTTTATTAACAACTTTCTAACCATTTTATTCTCTCTATTCTCTTGACACATGACAAAAATAGGGCCTTTGATATCTTGATAAAAAATTAATCATGTGTTAAATTGTTCTGTAGGAAACTCATGTCAAAAAATCAATCCTTGGTGTTCAAATATATAACGAGGAAACAACATTCTAAGGTTGGAAATGCTGAAGCTAATAACATGAAATCAGATTTGTTTCTCTCATGAATACCATGATTTATCATATGACCACATTAAAATGATTAATGTGAAATTAAAGATTATTGGATTAATCACTTATCTAAATTTGTTTGTGATTGGGTAAAAATACACTATCTTGTTTCAGCTCAAAATTATGTTAAGATAAAACTAACCAATGAAGCCAAAAGAAAAGGAAAGAGGGAGAAGAAAAGGAGAAGAAGGGTCATATTTGTCCTAACAAAAAACGATGAGAGTAGAATAAGAGAAGGAAAAGAAGAACGAAGAACCCAACCAAGCATAAACCCTTGGCCCAACTAGGTTCAAGGAGAAAACGAGGAGAGGAGGAAAAGAAAGAGAAAAAATAAAAAGAAAAGAAAGAGAAAAAAAGAAGACAAAGGAGAAGAAAGTTGTAAACCTTTAACCCCAAATTTGATAAATCAAGGTTAAATAAGAAAATTTATAGTTGGAGAAATGATAATTAAGGAGAAAAAAATTATAAAATGGATAAGAACTTTTAATAATTTAACTTTAATCTCATACGAAATTAAAGTAATAATATTGGTATATGAAATGTTAACTAGTAATAAATCACATAAACTTTCTGTCCAAGTAAAATAATTATTTTAAAAAATAATTTTTGTAAATTTAGGGTGATAATATTTAGAGAAATATGACAGAATTCCAAATAAATTAAAGTATGATTTTATATGTAAATAATGCTAACTACTAGTATAAAACCTATGTATCCATTATTCAGAAAAGGGGAAAAATAAATGTTTAGGATATTAAGAATAAATTATTTTTTAAATTATTCAGATGAAAACTCTTGTCAAAAAGTCAATTCTTGGTGTTCAAATATATAACGGGGATGGGACATTCTAAGGATGGAAATGTTGAAGCTAGTAATATGAAATTGAATTTGTCCCTCTTATATTTTGAATACCATGATTTATCATACCACCACATTAAAATTATTAATGTTAAATTAAAGATTTGTGGGTTAATCACTTATCTAATTTTGTTTGTGATTGGGTCATATATCAGCTACTCCGATCCTAAAGTAAATGCACTAGCTCACTTGAGCCCAAAATTATGTTAAGATAAAACCAACAACGTTAAAAAAAAAATAGGAGAAAAAAAAAAAGAAAAGGAGAAGGAAGGCCCGTTGTGGTCCTAGCAAAGAATGATAAGAGTAAAATAAAATAAAGAAGAGAAAAACAAAGAGACCAACTAGGCATAACTAGGTCCCATGAGAAAAAAAAAAGAGGAGAAAGTGAGAAAAACTAAAAGAAAAAAGAAAAGTAAAATAAGAAGAAAGCTGTAAACCTTGACCTTAAAATTGATGAATCAAGGTTAAATAAGGAAATATGTATTTGGAAAAATGATAATTAAGAAGAAAAATTTGTGATAAATTAGGATAAAATCTTTTAGTAATTTAACTTAAATTTTAAATGAAATTAAAGTAATAATATTGGTACGTAAAATATTAACTAGTAATAAATCATGAAAACTTTCTGATCGAGTAAAATAATTATTTTAAAAGAATAGTTTTTGCAAATTTAAGGTGAAAAATATTTAGAGAAATATGAGGAAATTACAAACAAATTAATGTATGATTTTACACATAAAGAATACTAACTACTGGTATAAAATCTATGTACAATCATATAATTTTTTAACCAAAAAGTAGGGAAATCTAAGTGATTGTTTTTTTATTATGAATATGGATTAAAGCCTTCAATAAATTAGTTTGAAAATTTTGACAATTTAAGTAAATAAAATTGTACATGAATTTCAATTTATATGTAAAATTATCTACTATCTAGTTTTATAATATTATACATAACTTTCAATCTAATCGTTGATCAGGTTAAAATTATATAAGCAATCTTCTAAAATATTGTTATATCTTAAATTAAAATTTTAAATTAATTGACACGAGTGATGATAATCAGATAAAATATAGAAAAATAACATATGAACATAGTAATTGCATTATTATAAATAAGTAAAAAAAATCCCTTCCTTGGTTATTGTAGCATTCAAAAGGAGTTAAAAGTAGAGAGAAGCTCTATTTCTCTCATTTTCATGAAAAAAAATGGTGATTTCTTCCAGAAGTGTGAGCCTAGAGAGTGATGTGAGTGATTTCTAATGTGGAAAAACAAGTAGAAGGCTAAGATTTATAAAGAAAAACAAGTTTAGTAACATGACAATTAAAAAAATAAAAATCATATTTAAAGTCTAGATTGTTATAAAAGAAACCATGAGCTTTACGAAGTTCAAGGTAAAGAAAGGGCAAAAAAGGAGAAGAAAATGAAGAAAAATGAAAGGCCCAACTTGTCTCAAGAAAAATAAGGGAAGAGATAGAAAAAAAGAAGAAAGAAATGAAAAAAATAAAAAAAGAAGGAATGGCCCACCCGCTTAGCCTAAGGGGAATAAAAGGCAAAAAAAAAAAAGAACAAAAAAGAAAAAGAAAAGGATATGGGACCAACTTGGCAAGAGGGAATAAAAGAAAAGGAAAGAGAGAAGGAAAAAAATAATAGATAATAGAAAAGAGAAGAAAAGGTAATTCATGTGACACCTATTTTATAATTAATGGGATGACACCGACTTCAACCATTCTGGGATAATTGCGTGGTAATCCATGATAAAGTAAATAGTTTACTATGTTTGCTTTTATGAATGGGTTTGCATCACTGCTCCTGTGACAGTTTTACAGCCCACTCCTGTGATAGTAATTCATGTGGCTTGAAGGTGTATAAATGTGATAGGTAATTCATGTGGCTTGAAGGTGTATAAATATCCATGGATCATTAGATATGAAGAATAATATTTTTCAAAAACCAACAAATTACATCCACACACAAACACTTAAACACACTCCACTTCTATTTTCTCCCTATATACATTATATTTATCTATGTGTTTGCTAACTTAAATGTCAAATGGTCTTTGCTCTCAGAAGGGATTTTCCTTGATGGAATCAAACCCAAGCTAAAAAAATAAAAATAAATACAAGCCCATTAAAACAACCAAAGAAAACATAAACTCAATAGAAGACTTTTCTTCTTACCATCATCAGTTTGCAACTAACAACTTATATCTCAATTAAAATTCTCAAATGAATCACCATAGTATTCACTATTCTCAGTGATGATTAATTTTATAGTGAAGGAGGTGGTTTAGATTTTTTGAAACTTAATCCTTAAGGGACCAATTAAGAATATTTTTAAGACTAGTTTAAAGTTTTTCATTGTATGGTTATGAGACTAGATAGAAGTTTTTCATATTTTGAGGCAATTATGAGAAAAAGATTCCAAAGTGAAAGAGCACTTACTATGTTCCTACTATTCGAGCAGTATTGGCTTCGTCTTCATTGCTTGAAAAAATCCTTGCCATTCCAAAGTCAGAAATCTTCGGATTCATCTCATTGTCTAACAATACATTAGAAGCTTTTAGGTCTCGATGGATGATTCTAAGCCTAGAATCCTCGTGAAGATAAAGCATTCCCTTTGCAATTCCATTTATAATATCAATTCTACTGCTCCAATCAAGTGCTGCTCGTTTCGTAGGATCTACCATCAAATCAAAAGCAAAATAAAATGATATTTAGAATACATTTGACCTTATTTATAAAAATTAACTTATCATTTCAAATCATGAATCAAAAATTATTTTTTATATAATTAAGTTATAATAGAAATGAGTTAAAATGACTTTAAATTGGAAATGTAAGTAAAAGTGACTTCAAGCAAAAAAATTTTTAATAAATTAGAAATAAAAATTTTCAACTTCTGTTTAAATCAAAATTTTGACTTAATTTTCTAATAAATTTTTCATAGAAAAATTATTCCAAAAAAAAATATTTATGACTTTTCTATAAATAAAAATTTAAAAAATAATTTAAATTAATTTGTAAAAGCTAATATTAATACTTGAACATTAATTAGCAATCAAACAGAACCCTAATCTTCAGTATTAAAAAGAAAAGAAAAGAAAAGAAAAGAAAAATAGCTAAGCATATTATTACTTTTAAATATTTTCCAACAAAGATTCAAATTTAAAACATTACCAAAACCTTAAAGGAAATATACAACTAACCAAAAAGAAAAACATCAAGGCTACTGTTAGGCATGAATTCATAGACGAGGAGCTTTTCCTCTTCTTCAACACAAAAACCAAGCAGCCTGACAAGATTTTTGTGCTGAAGTTTCATTATTAATAGAACTTCATTTTTGAATTCTTTTACGCCCTGCTCTGAACTTCTTGATAGTCTCTTCACTGCAACTTCGCTTCCGTCGCTTAGAATCCCCTTAAAAACCATAGAACACACGAAGTCATTTTTTCAATGTTGTATTTAAGTAAGCAATTTTTTAATTTAACAATCTAAAATCCTTTGAAAACGCATAAAGAATAATGCTGAAGTATTTCTAACCTTGTAAACAGGGCCAAATCCTCCCTGTCCAAGCTTGTTTGAAACAGAGAAGTTATCTGTCGCAGCTCTTATAACACTCAGGTCCATCATCCAAGGTAATTCCTTAGAACTCACCTTATTATCTTCTACGAATGTCGATCCTCTAGATTTTATCAGTTCCTGTAAGAAAGCAAGGTGGCCTTTTTCCTCATCTGCAAATGACAGAACAGTTCTTTGTAATCTGCAAGTCAGAATTTGCCAATTTTTGTGGCGAGCCAATCAGTTAAATGGATTAACCTGTTTCTTTTCTTCTTATTCGCCGAAAGTAGATGATACACGATGCAGTGAGAAACGCAAGAACTACTGTTGTTATACAAGTACCAAGCACAACCAACAAAATCGCCCATGTCCTCCCTATAGAAATAATAAATAAAATAACACTTGGACTATCTCTGATTGGTTAAGCAAATTTTGTATGATTTGTTTGTAATATATTGAAAATATATATACTTACACTTTCGTGTTTCCGGTTCGGCTACGCCGTCATAGAATGCGTATAACTCATCCCAAAAATAGCAACTCCGGCTAAGAAGCCGTGCCCCTCGACTGACATAGCAGCAAGTTGAAATATTTTGTATGGCAACCTGAAGGCAAGTGTTACAATCGTGAAATGACAAATCTGTAGTGCACTGCCCCAGAGCATAAAGGGTTTCTCTATCCGATAAGGCTAATTTTCGCGTAGCATACATATTCTGCGCAGGATCAAAAGCAGCCTTCTCGGTAAGGTTACTGAAACTTTCGTTCATTGCTGATACAAACTGTTCCGGATTTTCAATCGTCTTTCTATTAGGTAAAGGAATGTTACCTAAGAAATCAAGCAGGCCTAAGAAATTTTGATTCGAGAAGCGCAACTGGCACAGCTCCTCCCATACAGCTGCATCTCTATTGTTTGGACAGAGTTGCATGATATCTTGTGATGCTGCATCAATGCAGGCACTGCACCTTTCGTTTGTTATGTAGTTGTAGCACATATATTGAGCATAGACTATATCAGGGTCATTTCCAGCATAGGCATGATATTGATTCGACACAGAAGCATTTGAGGCAAGATAAGACATGAGGGACTTGAGATTGTTTTGAAATGGACTATTAGCTACATAAGGAGATGTATTTGAGCAAAAACTGTAGGGTGGATCAGCATAAGCAAGATTAAGAAGGTTGGCAATGGAAAAGTACAACAACAAAAGCAATTGAATGGTCTTCGCATCACTGAGAAAATTATGATCCATACTTTGCCTTTCGATTTCTTACTGGAAATGCATCATGTCCTGGAACTGTTCTGACTTCGTACACCTTTCTTAAAAATCATCTATAGGGAAAAACAATCAATTATGGAACCACATTACTGTAGTTGAAGGGCATTTTCAAGTAATAACTCGGTCAACAAAACTGTGACACTGTATTTTGATGTAGAAGTTGTAGCTATGCTGCGAAAGGGTGTTGTAGTTTCCTGGAAGATCTTGTATTAAAAAATGCATGCCTGAGCATTGACCATGAATAAATTAGTACACAAACGAAAACTATTAAATATGTTTTTGCTTTAATCCTGTTGAGTATGGATTTACTACATGGGATATGGCTTATACCGCTTAATTCTAATATAAATACATAGGGCCTTTTCTGGATACTGTTGAGAGTGCCACCATAACATTTCAGCATGCGAGGTCATGTGCTACAAGAATATTTGGATGCACTGAGAATAAGGTTGAAATTTTCTATAAATTGATAGAGTTTTTTTTGTATTCATATCCAGCTATATATTTAACTGATCTATGTACTACATGGGATATGGCTTATACCGCTTAATTCTAATATAAATACATAGGGCCTTTTCTGGATACTGTTGAGAGTGCCACCATAACATTTCAGCATGCGAGGTCATGTGCTACAAGAATATTTGGATGCACTGAGAATAAGGTTGAAATTTTCTATAAATTGATAGAGTTTTTTTTGTATTCATATCCAGCTATATATTTAACTGATCTATGTAAAATTTGTATCTATGTGTGCATTTTTATTGGGTTTGATAAAAACCGATCTATTATTGAAATTGTTCTTAATTATCAATTAGATGCATGATCAATAAATTTGATTGACAAAATACAAAATCGGTATATATAACACGAAATGACTCATATATTTGTTATTTTTCAGAGTAATATTTGTTATTTTTCAGAGTAATTTATTCGGGGTCACAAGTCAGTGGTTGGATTAATGTAGTGAAGTTTTTCTTTAGAGGATATGGTTACTAAAGTTTTTCCCATGACCATTCTCTTTTGAAGAATTAATCATGAAATTCCACGTTAAGGGTGCAGATTATTTTACAGCACATAGATTGGGACCTGTGATTTCGTGGTAGGTAATTACATAGAGGGTGATGGATCCAAATTAATATATATATATATATATATATATAAACTCTAAAAAAATCTTTTAAAAGATTAAAAAAATTTATTTGGGCTCGGGATATCATACTCGAGCCCAACTTCTACTAAGATGCATGGGCTTAGATATAATAGCCGAGCTTATGTTGGGCATACACTTGGGCTTAAGCATGAAAGCCCGAGCCCACCATTTAAGCGCGATATGTCTAAGAGATTAAGTGTATCTCCAACATGGGCTTGACATGCCTAGGAGGCTAGGTGTGACACGCTCAACTTTATTGGGTATGCTGTATGTTGCATAACATCCTTGGTGGTGAGCATACATCTCGACACCCTTGTGGGCTTATGCTACTATGTTCAAACCCAATATGCTTAGATCCAAGCAGCGCGTGTAGATCCATTTTTTACTTATAATGAGTTCAAGCACTTTGTCCTAACCTAACAATCCCTTGAGAATTTTTTTAAGACTCTATGTGGGTCGCTCAATATTTTTTATTGATTCAATAGATATTATTTTTAGTAAAATATAACTTAAAATATCACAAGGGTAAAATTACATTGTAGCCCTTTCCTTTTTATGAAAAAGATATGACTCATGGGCTATAAATACACTATGAATTCTTCACACTCAAGGTTCATGATTTTTTCATTCTTAATATTTTTAGCATGTATATTTTCAGAGTTTATCTCTCTTAAATATCATTGCACTTTCTCTCTTTACAAAATTACTGATTTAAATATCTAAAAGTCTACACATCCATCAAATGAAACCTTTTGCACGTATCAGTTACTAATCACTTTGACTTACCAAACATCACTAGTTACCAACCACCTAGGTTTTCCTTATCAAGTCGCCGCCAAATAACTTAGCTAGGGAGAATATATCAAATTACTTGAATTAAGAGATTAGCCGATTATCCAACATATTAATTTTATTTCTAAGCATCTTGGATTTTAAAACTCATCATAGGGTTAACTACTTAATTGATTTAATAATCTCAAATTGTGATAAAAAAATGACTTGAATAAAACTATTTGATGAAACCCATTGTTAATTTGTAATAGTAAACTATTGAAAAGGGAATTTTTCAACAAAATAATATAGTCTAATATTCAAAGTTCTTGTTCGTCTCGTAGGACTAAATTTTTTATATTTCATGAACAATTCTTTCTTGAAATTTGACCTAACCTTCATTAGCTATGAATTTTCCATTCTCAGTAGGATTATTTGATTTCATAAATACTTATATAATGTAGTATTCCATTTTCGCTAGTAAAATTTCTCTAACATGCTGAAATGTAATGACATTTTCCTTTCTTTATCAATTAAATGCATGGTAAAAAATGATTAATAAAATACATTTTCGTTATATTTTACAAGTTATGACTTAGAGATTTGTTATTTTCAGAGTAATTTACTTAGGGTCAAAAGATAGTGGCTGGATTAATGAACAATTCTTATTAATATTTCTTGCGAGGAGACTAGTCCAGAAATTCCATGTAAAGGGTGCAGACTTTTTTACATAATATAGATTGTGACCGGTCCAAATGCTAGGTACTTGACATGAAGTAAGAAAAAAATTATCTTTCTATTACATAGTGTAATGGGTTTTAGGGATTTTGTTTTAAGTTGAGCTGGGCTAGTTGCTTTATGAATTCCTGCTCTGATGCATAAGGTATCAAACATACAGAAGAGGAATAACATGAATGTTGGAGAATATATGTTGTGATTGTTGAGTATCTGGTTATGTGTTGTTCTTTATTATACTTCATGATCATGGATATTTATACACTCATATGAAATTATCTCATGAAATGTGAAGTCAACACCATACATGTGGGAGTCATCATAGATATTAATTACCTATACTATGCAAATAAGGTGTTTATGGCGGAGTTGCATTATCAATTCATGAGACAAGGCTTCTAGGTAGGTGTCGTACTGAAAATTTAGACAACTATAATCCAAGTGTGTGCTTTTCTAATAGCCAAAGAACCAGGTGGGTGCCATGTACAACAAAGAATATTGATAGATTTATTGTTGCATAAGTTGCTTAAATTATTTAGTGTGCTTATATTTTTTTTTCTCCTTTTCACTTTCTTTTTCCTCATCTTCTTCTCTCTTTAGGTAGGCCTTCATTGAGCTATGCTGTGATGTATTGAAGATTGAATTGAAGAGTTTTTGATTAATTAGGGACTAAACTGTAAAAAGGAAGAAAAACTATTTGATGAATGTACTTCATGCACCAACAAATGAAGAAGGTTGTGGCAGGTAGAGGCATGCAACCTTCAATAATAATCTTTTTTTATGTTGTTGGATTTGTCTCGATAAGATCTACTTTATTATAATCTATTTTGGGTTATTTCCCTAAATTTTATCCTTTTTTTAAAAAAATAAAAAAAATACTAATAGCAAGAAGATTGATAATTTGATAAAAATAGGTTGAAGAGGATTTCAAATATATATAAAAATCAAGCTAGAGTTTTGAATGAAATTAGGAGTTGAATTGTACCTTATTGTACTCAAGACTAAAGAGACAATGTGAAATTCAACTTAAAATAACAATCAAACAATAATACAATTTATCTTAGATTAGGTGCACTAGGGGTAAAGCTTTTTCTCCTTGTATAACCAGTTTTTTATCCGGACTCTCGCAGACTATTAGGTTACCTAGTGATTATAATATTAAGTAGCAATTCATGAACCTTATAATTATAATTTTATAATTGAATTTAAAACCTCTTTTCAACATACTTAGGAGGTAGGTTAGCCATTCAACATTGTGCACATGACGATATATCTCATGGTTCAACATGTGTTGATGGCAATGTTTTTATTGCTATCCAATTTTTTACCTATATTTTGATAAATTTTTAGAAAAAAATAAAAAAAATAGCAAAAAACAAAGAAGAAAACCCCTAAAAAAATATATTTTTGATATATTTGTATCGTTTTTAACATTTTCAATGTCATCTTAAAAGAATTTAAATTTTCAAAGGTATTTGAAAAACGTTCAACTTTTGACTCGTAAATTTTACAATCACTGATTTTTTGAGTTGATGTTGATATTGCTCACTTTAAAAAATACAACAAAAAAAAGAAAAAAAAAGAAAAAAAAAGTTGAGGGACTAGTTTGGAAACCCTAAAATATTTCTTCTATAAATATTATGCTACAGTAAAATAGGAAAGGGGGGAGAAAAAATTGACTCACGGGGAAAAAATTTTAGAGGGGGGTAGCAAAAAAATAAACCCTAAACCTAAGTATTTTTTCCTTCCTCTTCCGAGGCCGCCGCCCCCTTGACCCAAAAAAACCAGAGACACCGTCCCTAGTCTCTCCATCAGCCCTCTTCCCCCCTGGCTATTTCAAACTACCTTCTCCCCTCTCCCAGCCAACAAAAGGCAGCCGCCACCCTTGAAACCAAAAAACGCAGCCCCATCTCTCTTTTGGCAAAAAACAAGCCACAGTTGTCATTCCCCCCACTTCCTCTCATTTTCAAGTCCCTGCCTACAGAGCATAACCCCTCATCTCTTTCTTCCACAGCCGTCCCCACCTTTACCACAACAGCCGGCTATAAGACAGCCCTCTCATCTCCCCTGACCAGAGAACAGGCAGAGCTGTTCCGCCCTCTCAGCAGACTGAAACCCCAGCCGGGAATGCCATCTGTTCCATCATCAATAGACTCCAAACCCTCCCTCCGCCACCATGCAACAGCCGACCCATCGGCTTCCCTCTCCCGGCTTGTGACCCAAAAGCAGCAGGCCACGCCCCTCCACTGGCCGTTGCTCTCCCTTGTGGCCAAGATGACACCCGCAAGAGCCCCAATGGACGATAGCAGCAAGGCTA